TTCTTCAAAATTTCAAATCGATAGTCAAAATAAAAAAATGTCACGGTCAAAAATAATTTAATTCATCTATATTTTGGTTTTAATGAAAGATAATTAACACAAGTGCGCAACTGTGAATCTGCGATCCTTCAATAATTCCGATTAGATATTTGATTTGATCATATTTAAGCAACTTGATAATAATATAAGAAAATATTCATAGCATTTTGTTTTTTGGCTAAATATTCATAGTACAGTTATTCAATATATATTTAAATATAGTATTAATTTTCTTTTGACTTAAAAATTCAATGAATTCATTTTCCATCCAAAATTAAATGCATTGCAACTTTTCATTTGTCAAACAAATGCATTCAACTTTAAATCACATTAAATGACTGATTTACTATAAGAGTATTATTTTCCTTCAAAACTCACTCCATATTATATTCATTTTAAATAAGATAAAACACAAAAGGTAAAGTTACATACAAAAACAACACAGTAGTAAAGAGGAAGAAGAAGCATATTGCTCCTCTTTCCAAGAAATTAGGGTTTTGTCGTCTCGATCGAATTCGCGGCAAGTAGGATCAATTTCTTCCGACAACAGTAATCTTCTTCCTGATTTTTCTTGAGTTTTGAAACAGTAAGCCCTTTACTTTTACTCATCTCTTCAATCTCTTTAATGGATTTTACTCTCATTGGAAATTCGTAATGCAATTGCAATGAACATATAGAATTTTGACAATGTGGGTTATTCTCTCCCTTTGATCTTCTTGTCGAAGAGGAAAAACAAAGCATTTTGATACCTAAAGGCCAGATCTTTGCTAGTCGTTAGTGAGAGAGATTACTGTGTGGGTTTTTCTTTTGTGAATTGGTTCTGTGTGGTGTTTATATGAGTAAGCTTTGGTACAATGTGAATTCGTTATGTCCTCCTGACTAAATGTTTTGTTTGATGATTGAAAGTTTGAAACTTTGGTGCTATTTGATTGTTCAGGTGTGCTAAGCTAAAGATAAGGAACTAATCCGACTCTGTTTTTGCGAAATTTGTCTCATAGTTTATGGAGTTGGAGAGGTTTTTAAGCTTTTGAATTGGAGAGTGTTCAGACATATTGAGAAGCTTGAGATTTTTTTAGCCAAAGGGTCTATTATCTAGTGAAATTCGTTAAGAATGGGTTCGCTCTGTTGTGTGGCTGCGAAATCAGATAGATCGAATTCTGGAAGTGGGGATTTTTCGTTTGGCCCGCATGAGCCTTACTGGAGGACGAATTCAAGTTTCTCTCCACCTTCATCGAGATGGGATGTCCATGGATTAATGGATGGTATTAGTTATTATGGATCTTCCGCATCATCAAATACTAATGCTCTTCGTAGTCCCGACCTTTCTCATGGTCTTCGTTGGACACGTAATGACTTTGAACCTGCAGCAAGAAGAGGTTTGTTGCACTAAAATTCACATTCTTCTCTTTAAGACCTTTACATGTACCAAAATTTCCTTGTTTGATCTGGTTTCTTGCTTCGATCGGTGTACATATCGTTTCTCATTTCTCTCTGCAGATCAAATTCTTAAGCAGCTACCGGGTACATCAAGAAATGTTGGTACGGGATGTTCGTTCTCATCTTGCTCTGATATTGGTGACTCTGAACCTAACCGCAACTTCTCAAGCCGGCGTTTTTTTCTGTCCAAGCCTGTTCATCCTATACTGCATCCTTCCGATAATGTTAGAGACACAACATCTGACTCTGCGGATGCCTGCAGTTGGAGCAGCGGGACCACAAGCAGCATCGATTCTGTTGATGTTCCCGAACCAATTCATGATTGGGATAACAACTCCACTAAAACACAACAAGGAGCTTCAAATACATTTAAATGCGGATTGTGTAACAGATACCTTTCACAGAAATCTCCTTGGGGATCTCGGTCCATCCTAAGAAACCGAGATATGCCTGTCACAGGTGTCCTTCCATGTCAACACGTCTTTCACGCGGAATGTCTTGATCAATCAACTTCAAAGGCTCAGCGCAATGACCCACCTTGTCCAATATGCACCAAACATGAAGGAGGAGAACACTTTAAACCACACAACATTGCCCCGAGGCTTAAACCGCTTTGTGAAGATGGGCCATCTGCAAGACCATGGGGCTGTGCTCAGGCCGGTGACTGTGTTGAAAATGCTGTTAATGTGCCGCCAAGAAACACCATGATGATGATAAACCGGAACCGGATAAGGAAAAACCTCTCATTGAGAGGAAACTCAAGCAAAGATTCTCCAAGAAAAATCAAGAAAAGCAACTCATTTGCCATGGAAAATCTGCCGAATCAAGCCTCGCTTGTACAATCTAGAGGGAAAGAGAAAGCTTTATGGTAGCTGGTAAAAACAGAGCAGAGAGATCAAAAGTTCGATTCCTTGACCTACTTAAACTTTATCTTGACAAGTATTGATCTTGTTCATTAAAGGATTGTAAAGTACTCATTATTGAGATTTTGGTAATGGTGTTATAGTTTCTTAGCAATTAGTTCGACATTTGCATATGCGTTTCGGACGACCTAAAATGACCGAAGGATGATTAAAACATTCGCAACGTAAGTTTGTTTTGTCTGTGGGCCTCTCGTTCTCATGTCTTCTATGCACAAATTGCTTCCTTCATTGCCACATTTTCCAGGGAATTGTTTGTTAAATTCACAAACTCCTCCTCTTTGCACATGAACAGCTTCCACATCTGTCATTTTAATCAAACCACTAGAAAATTGTTAGATTCTAAAGAAAGAGTTTTAGATAGACAATTCACAATTGATAAGAAGATATACAAAAATACCTTTGATATGGTTTAGGACAAGGACCATGGAAACACAAGAAACCATAAATAAAGTAGTGGATTTCATTATTCAGAAAATGATAAAAGATTGTTTCTCGTAAGAAAGCAATTTTTTCTCTTTGTGAAAACTTTATCATCACTCTAAATATGGTCAAGATTAGGGTAAAAATAGTTGTTCCTATTAAATTGTCGG